TGATGGTACATGGAGGGGATTATAATCATTGTAATGAAACAAGGTGTATGACTTGTTGAATGTAAAATTGATGATCTGCCCTATAAACTTTCACTTAACCCACAATAAAAACCTTAAAAAACAAAAAACAGAATACACCCATCAAAGACATAGGGGAAGTTCATGGTGAAAGCGGGAAATTAACTTTAAACAAGAATGCGCCTAGTAAGGACTAGTAGGTGACCTTGGGAGGAGATTGCAAACTCCATAACACCCAGTAAAAGGGGAACTGGAGGAGGGGCCTCCAAAAGATAGGGGGATAAAACTGTTTGCAGGCTAGCCATGTAGCATGTCTGCCTATGTCTACTGGGTTGGGCACCCGATTTTGCAAAATCAAATAAAGAAAACCTCATTCTTGAATAAATGAGTACATACTGGAGTACTTAAGCGTTTGTCAGTATGGACAACGTTTATCACAAAGGGGACACTGAATGGTTTAAAATCATGAAAGGAGTGAGCCTTTCTTTCACCATAATTATTCAATCTGTTAATTATTCAATCTGTATACTGAGCAAATAATCAGAGAAGTTGGATTATATGAACAAGAACATGGCATCAGGATTGGTGGAAGACTCAATAACAACCTGCGATGTGCAGATGATACAACCTTACTTGCTGAGAGTGAAAAGGACTCAAAATACTTACTGATGAAGATCAAAGACAATAGTCAGACTGGCTGCTCTGAAAAGCCATCTTTGCATTGTTCCCTGTTGGGCTCCCAGCTCGCAGAACCCACCTCTGCCGCTCTCCTCCTTCGCTGTGGACTCTAGCAGCTCTCTTGCCGAAGTCCCTAATCTCACTCTCTCTTTGTCATCCTTTATATCGGATCACCAGTGTGCCCCACCATCTCAAATGCGACTGTGGACACCAGCTCCAAGATCACCACTGAGGACTTAAAGGAGAAAACAATGAATGGAAGAGATGTACCTGCTAATGGGAACACTAACGAGGAAAATGGAGACACTAATGAGGAAAATGGGGAGCAGGAGGCTGACAATGAGGTAGATGAGGAAAAGGAGGAAGTTGGGGAGGAGGAGGAGGAACAGGAAGAAAATCATGGTGAGGAAGAAGATGGAGATGAAGATGAGGTCAAGGCAGCTACAGGCAAATGGGCAGCTGAAGATGATGAGGATGATGATGTTGACACCAAGAAGCAGAAGATGGACAAGAATGACTAGATATCAAAAAAGGAAAAGTTAATAAAAAAGGCCACCTTATAAGAAATCAGATACAAAAAAAAGGGTCACCTTGATTTCCCATCTCAGAATCTAAATGTGGTCACTTTCAAGTAGACAGAGTCCCACCTGCACACCCCTGCAGATAACATGCTTTCACCACCACCCAACCAAAACCACAACTTGAATTTGCAACAGCGGAGAAAAAAAAAAAAATTCCAAGGCCCTGTTTTTTTTCTTAAAAGTACTTTAAAAAGGAAAATTTGTATTTTTTTTTTTTAAGTTTTTATTGTGAATTGAGAGATAGTTTACCTGGTGGAACATCAGTTTTACACTCATCATTTCCTTGCAATGATTACAATCTCCTCCGTGCATCATCATTCAACAGTATTTGTTTCTATTCCCTCTGTTTTGTTTTTGTTTTTTTTGAGGGGAGTAGGGGTGGTGAGGATGTATACAAAAACACTCAGGAATATATAACCATTTAAAAACCAAAGGGCACATTCTGCAAGCCTGCCTCCTGGCCACCAGCACCTGGCCGCCAGCACACAGCCTTTCTCTTTCCATGAGTCTAGAGGCCTGAACTGTTCTATTTCTCCATGTCCTCATTTCTGTGTCCATCTCTGGTGCCGCTGCTTCTCTGGATAGGGTTCCACATTCCACTCATGCTCTTCTCCCTTGATGGTCCTAGGGTCCTCTGTTTCTGGACTGTTAGATTAACTACTCCCCACTTTTTGCTACAAAACTTCTACCTTCACAGTTGTGACAATCACAATTAGTCATGATAACAGTTACTCACTACTGAATCATAAGAATTTTATCCCCATCTCTTTTCACCAGACCTATCTAGACAAGATGAAAACTATTCAGTGTAGATTATGCCTTCCCCTGCACCTTCTGAAACTAAACTCCATCTTGAAACCTTGTAAGCCAGTCACTTTGTGCCTTTATAGCCCCCACATTTTAGGTAGCCAATGTCTAAGTTGCCCATCCCTATCAACCCTGTATACAGATGGGAAAATATTGATCCTTGATGTGAAGACTCCTTTGCTTTCAGCTGGTATTTTGAGCTACTATATTCATAAATATAGGTAAAATTCATCAAATTGTAACAATTTACATTTATTTACTTTATCAAATTTATCTTCCTCTACTCTGGTAGCGTAGTGGTTATGAATCGGGCTGCGAACCTTAAGGTTAGCGGTTCAAAACTACCAGCCACTCCGTGGGAGAAAGATGAGGCTTTCTACTCCCGTAAAGATTTACACCCTCGGAAACCCTGTACAGGGTCGCTATGGGTCGGAACCGACTCGACGGCACTTAACAATAACAACAACAAGTCAAGTTCTCATCATCTCACTATCGAAGCTAGGTTGAATAGGTACTATCTACCTGTTCATATTTTTCATTTACATTTTATATTTTTGTACACATTGTTTAGGGGTCAGCCATTTTTAATGATCTCATATGCTCAAACCAGCCTTTGGAGCATTCTCTGTCCTAATTCTGACTTTATTTGTGGTGTGACTATGTTAATTATAATCTCAGAGGAGAAAAAAAACCTTGTTAGAAAAGCAAAGCCAACAAAAATTATAATCTTATTCCGAGTGTTCCAGTAACTGTTTTAGTTTATGTACTTCGCTGTACTATAAGTAGTTGGTTTGTATGAGATGGTTTAAAAAGGCCAAAGATAAAAGGCTTCTTTTCCTTTTTTGTAGGTCTATGAAATTGCTGGGTTTGTTTGTTTGTTTGGCCTCTTTGATATATGTATGAAACAATGTTGTCCAACAATAAACTGAATTTTATTTTGCCAAGTTGTTTTAACAAACAACCAAAACCATCCAAAAAAACAAAGACAATGGCCATCAGTGTGGAATGTACCTCAATGTAAAGAAAACAAAAGTCTTAACAACTTGGCCAATAAATAACAATAAATGGAGAAAAGACTGACATTTTCAAAGACTTCATTTTGCTTGAGTCCATGATAATTTTTTTTTTTTTAAAACTCAAAGAAGCAGCAGTCAAGAAACTAAATGATGTTTTACATTAGGCAAATCTGCTGAACAAGATCTCTTTAAAGTGTTCAACAGCAAAGATGTCACTTAAAGGCCTTAGGTGCACCTGATCCAAGCCCTGGTATTTTCAATAGTGTCATATGCATATGAAAAGTAGACAATGAATAAGGAAGACCACTGAACAATCAATGTATTACCGTTATGGTGTTGGAGAAGGATATTGAAAGTACAATAGACTGCCAGAAGAACAAACAAATCTGTATTGGAAGAAGACAGGCAGGATGTTATTTAGAAGCCAGGATGAACAGACTTCATCTCTCATACTTCGGACATGATATCAGGAGGGACCAGTCCCAGGAACCAATGCAACAACACTTAACAACTGTTGTTAGGTGCAGTCGGCTTGGTTTCTACTCATAACAACCCTTTGCACAACAGAATGAAACATTGCCCTGTCATGCACCATCCTCACAATTGTTATGTTTGAGCCCATTGCTGCTAACACTGTGCCAAACCATCTCATTAGAGTTCTTCCTCTTTTTCACTAACTCTACACTTTTCTAAGCATGATGTCCTTCTCAAGGCACTGTTCCCTCCTGATAACATATGCAAAGTATGAGAGATGAAGTCTGGTCCTTCTAAGAAACATTCTGGTTACACTTCTTCCAACACAGATTTGTTTATTCTTCTGGCAGTCCATGGTATTTTCAATATTCTTCCCCAAAACCATAATTCAAATGCATTGATTGTTTTACAATTTTTCTGTTTTATTGTCCAACTTACATATGTATACGAAGCTATTGAAAATAACATGACTTGTGCCAGGCACACCGTAGTCCTCAAACTGACATTTTTGCTCTTGAACATTTTAAAGAGGTCTTGGGTAGCAGATACATCATTTGACTTTTTGACTACTGCTTCCATGAGTGTTAATAGTGGATCCATGAAAAATGAAGTCTTTGACAACTTCAATCTTTTCTCTATTTATCATGATGTTATTTATTGGTCCAGTTGTGAGGATTTTCGTTTTCTTTAAAGTGCAGCCCATACTGAAGACTGTGGTCTTTGATCTTTATCAGTAAGCATTTTAAGTCCACTTCACTTTCAGCAAGCAAGGTGTATCATCTGCATATTGCAGGTTGTGAATGAATCTTCCTCCAATCTGATGTCACATTCTTCTTCATATAATCCAACTTTTCAGATTATTTACTCAATACACAGATTGAATTGTTGTTGTTGTTGTTGTTAAGTGCCATTGAGTTGGTTTCGACTCATAGCAATCCTATATAGGGTTTCCAAGGAGTGGCTAGTGAGCTTGAACTACCGACCTTGTGGTTCAAGCTGACCTTGCAGTCCAACATATTAACTCACAGTGCCACAATATGTATATATATAAATAGAAGTTTATATCAAGGAAATGGCTCATGATTGTAGAGATAGGAGAGTCCTTAAGTGCAGGCTAGGTGAACCAAGATTGGCAGGCATGCCCAAGTGGAATCCAGAACACCATCCAGAACTGACTGAGGTAGAAAATTTCCACTGGAAAGGACAAGTAGGCCAGCCTGGAGCGGCAAAAAGAACAGAAGATACTTCATGAAAGAAAGGCAGGCAGGAAAGATCCAAAACAATAATGGCAGTCTGATTGATTACTACAAGAACAAGTAAGCTGTTCACCCAGGCGCCATCAAGGCAAGTGGTCAGGACCCCTCAGAGCAAACCCCCTTCCAAGACTGAGACTCAAGGTGAATACACGAGCAGGCATGTGGTCTGGCTGGTGACCACATTGGTCACTAATAAGGGTGAGAGAGGGAAAAAACAGCAATGAAGTAGCAAGCTAAGCCGGACCACATTCAATAGACCGCTGTGAACCCAGGTGGAGACCTGGATGGCCAGCAGTATGGCAAGACCTGGGGACTCCTGGGCCCAGAGGCAGTGACATGGCCACCCAGGACTAGAGCAGAGAATGAAGCGTCTAGCTGATATGAAGTGAGGGGAGATGCACAAGAACACCCATACTTGCAGATAGTACCCACTTGACCTGGCTTCGATGGCTGGATAACCAGAACTCAACTAGAAGAAGAAAGAAGAAGGGGGGGGGGGCGGGGAGAAGAGTAACCTGCTGCAATATGATGAACTTATGGATGTAGAAGCTCAAAAAAGTGAACAAATCTTTACAGCAAGGATCACTCCCACCCCCTTGGTACACAGGGTGGACAAGGATGGGCAACATAGACACTGGCTACCCAAAATGGGGGGTGCCTATAAAGGCAAGAAGTGACTGGCTTACAAGCTTTCTAGAGGGAGCCTAGTTCCAGATGGGGTGGAGGAAGGTAGAATCACCACTGAATGATTGCCAATCTGTTGGGACTGGGCTGATGAAAGGAAATGGAAATAAGACTCTTGTGGCACAACAGTGAATAGTTGTAATCAGGACTGACTGTGAGGGTAGGAAATATACAGTTAGATGTTTTTTTTGACAAAAGGAGGAGAGTGATTGGTTTTACAACCCAGGAGCAGAGGTCCCTGTAACCATCAAGTGAGAAGATGGGAAAGTGGGACCCTATCCAGAGAGGCAGTGACGCCAGGGATGGAGACAGAGACGATGACATGGACAGATGGAGCTGCTAGGGACACTGGACTCAGGAGGGAGAAGGGCTGTGTGCTGGCAGCCGGGGGGGCGGGCCTGTGTGGTGTACCCTTTGGTTGTTTGATAATGCATGGAGGGGATTGTAATCATTGCAATGAAACGAAATACGATAGGATGAGTGTAAAGCTGATGTTCTCCCATGTAAACCTCAGAATAACAACTTAAAAAAAAAAAAAAAAAAAAAGATTGGTGGGCATGCCCAAAAGGCAAGAATCTCAAGTCAGGGCACATAGCAGGACCTCAGTGCCAGAGCAGGGGTGGCAGCAGGGTGACGGGTGACCAAGGCCTGGGCAGGTACCCTGCATAACTGGTGTCATGGAGCACACAAGCTGCGGCAACAG